TAAGGGTTCACTTGGGTTTCCAAGCCAACATGGCGGCTTCACGGTTTTGGAATATCGCAGAAAACTCGCCACGGGCGGGCGCACTGCCCATGACATATCACATGCGCAAGAAGCTCCATTAATTTTGAAGTCAGATCGGTCACCGCTGCGGGCTCACATTAGTTCCCAGGCCAACATGGAGACTTTTCGATTGCGGGCGAAACAGAACCTCCTCACGGGCGGGCGCGACGCGCGCGCGCGCCCGCGCGCGGGGTCGGCGGATAACATGCGCAAGCAGCGAAGTTAATTTAGAAGTCCGGTCGGCCACCGCTAAGGGTTCACTTCAGTTTCCAAGCTAACATGGCGACTTTTCGATTGTGGTTAATACAGGGCCCCCTCAGGGGCGGCGGGGGGGGCGGGGCGCGCGCGCGTGCCTGCGGGGTGCTGCCGGCGACAGAGAACATGCGCAATAAGCCATGTCAACTTGGAGTCCGATCGGTCACCGCTGCGGGGGTACTGTCAGTTTCCAAGCCAACATGGCGAGTTTTCGATTGTGGACGCTGCAGCAACTCCTCTCGCGCGCGCCCCCGCAAGGAGCGATGGGGGCCCGAGACATGAGCTGGGCCTTAACGCGACCACCGTTTCATTATAATGCAACGGCGGTCGCGCCCGACATATATGTCGCGCCTGGCCTCGCTGGCCCGACATATACGTCGGGCCAGCGTGCCCCGAACCGCGCGGCATAAGGAGCGGAGGGTGCCCCAGCGAGGGACTGGGCCTCAATGCTCCTACTTTGGCACGCGGGCGAAAACTCCAGCGCGCGCCCCGCAAGGAGCGGGGGGGCCCGAGAGAGGCGCCTGGCTTGCGCGCGACCGCCGTCGCACTACGTCGAGCAAGCGCAAGGAATTCGGTGGAACCACGAAACGCGTAATGGGGCGTTCCGAATTAGGTGGCGGGGGCGCACGCGAACGCTCGCAGCGGGGCCTTTGGCGGGGCCCAGCACGGGGCAACTCAAGGCGTGAGCGGTGTGCCGAGATGCGTGGCGGAGACGCCGGCGAACGTTGCCACTCTCGCGGCATTCGGGCGATGATGATGACGACGGTGACGGTGATGGCGATGGCGATGTGATGAGGCAAGGCCGACTCCATGTCCACGCAACGTTGGCCCGGGCCCTGGGAAAGCCGAGCGGGCAGAGCTCGGGCATTCCGCCCCGCGGCGGCGGAACCTTTCCCAGGCGTGGGCCGGGGAGGCAAGGCGGCCCAAGAGGCCTAACCCAAGACGGCCCGATGAGGCCTAACCCAAGACGGCCCAAGTTGCCGAAAGAAAAACAGCCCAACATGCGCGTTGCTGCTCTCGCCGCGGGTTGGCGAGTGGCGCTGTGCATGGTGATGCTCGATGCCGCAATCTGCAATGCCCTGCCTCGCAATGGGGTTTAATTGTTTCCCTGCAGCGAAGGCTCATCCAGAACCTCTTGGCTGATGTTTCGGTGATTCTGGGCCGTCTTGGGCCGTCTGAAAGGATTTCGGGGCCCCGACCTAGATCCAGGCGCAGTTTCTCCAGCATGGGGGGCCCGTGAGGGTTGCGCCACTGGGGCCTTCGGCGGACCTCCGCAAGTTTCTCGGGCAGGCGGGCGGCGATGAGCCATGGAATGTTGAGGTTCGACACTTGGTCGTCAAGTTTTGCATAGTCAGCAAAGAGGCGTACTGGTATGCACCGATCTGGCCCGTATGTCTTAACGACTGCATGCTGGTAAAAATTGCTGCAGCAGAGCGATGGGTCGGACTTGTGTCTGAGAAAAGAGTCGGGGTCCGATTCAAATTGGCGGCTCATGACCTCGTGAAACGGCCCGAAAGGAATCTCTTCCAACTTCGACCGTCTTGTTTTCGACGCCCGTAGAGGAACACATACATACTCAAGCAGCTCGCGTTTGACATCATCAGTCCCAACCACACTGTCAATAGCTCTCGCACTGTTTTTGGAGCGAACCAGGTCTTTCGAGAACTTCTCAACTCCACGGCCGCCAGCCAGTGTAATCAAACGGCACAATCTCACCAACCTTGACAAACATATCCTCCCCCGATTCCTCCCTCGTTCCTCCTCTCTCCTCGTTCCTCCTCTCTCCACCTCATCCTCTAGTTATTCCTCTCCTCCTCGCTAGTGCTCCTTGAGCGTATAGCCACCTGTGCGACGTCATAGCGCCACTGAAAAACAGCGACAGCAGCATGTTGCGGAGATCCCTGCCAGGGCCATTGGAACCAGTGGTCCCCGCGGCCACCGCGGCCCGGGCGCTGCTTCTCCATGATTCGATCCCCTTGCGCCCGAGAAGCCCAATGGAGCGGCTGGCGAGCTCGGCGCGCGCGTGGCGCCTGACGGCTGCCAAGTCGGACTTGCTTGCCATGGCGACTGATCGCCACAAAAACTTGGGCCGAGCGCTACTTTGGGGCTTCTTAGTTTTGTGGGTCTGGGGCCTGCAGTGGACCTCTGGGGGGCCCTTGGGGTTTCTCGGGAGCTGCAGCGGCGGGGGCTGGGCCCCCGCCGCCCAGCCCTCATGTGGGGCTGCAGCGGCAGGGGCGCCAGGCGCTAGTGTGTTTGTTAGGGGAGTGAGGTCGAGAGATCCAGGGGCCTGAGATTCGAAAGTGCCGAGTCGTCGGATGTCCGGATGTCCTGAGCATTCGCGCGGCTCCTTGCTCGTATTCCTCCTACCTCTTCCCTCCCCCCCTCTCGTCTTCCCCCCCCCTCCTCCAGTATCCAGCCCTCTTGATTCTTAAGGGGGGCCGGAGGAAGGGGATGGGGGAAGAGTAGGAGGGGGAGGAAGAGGGGGGGGGGGGAAAGGAGGCGGCGGAGGAAAAGGAAGAGGAGGAAGAGGAGGACAACTGATTCCAAGTCGGCGGCCTGCCGTCGACTCGAGGTCCAACAGCCTGCGCCAGCAGCACTGTATTAAACGCTTCACAGGGTGATGGGCAATATATGCAGCCGGCGCCATGTCTCGAGGCCTCGCATTCGACCCCATCGTACTATTTGCAGGGTTGGGATCCACATATTCAAATCTTTTGAGCGTTCCTGCGTGCTCCCGGGATCAGAGGCGTGGATTTTCAACGTCTGGAGGCCCTCCGAGACAGTTCAAGAGCGCAATGTTTGAAAACCGCCAGCGCCCTGCGCTGGTTGCTCCACATCTGCCCGCCACCGTGCCCCTGCACGGAGTGGGGTCAACAAGAATTCCTATCGAGCCTGGACCCCCTCTTTGGGGCTTGCCACCGACGCCGACCGATCGGTCCAGGACGCCCGGGATAGCTTCCCGACGGCCCAAGATAGGCCTCCAAGAGCACTCCCAAGCGGGCCCCAAGACGGCCCAAGAGCCTTCCAAGACGGCCCAAGAAGCCCCCGAGACAGTTCCAAGAAGGGCCCCCGACGGGAAACCCAGCCCTCGGCCCCGAGAAGCCCATCCTAGGTCCTAGGAGGCCCCGAGATTGAAGCCCCCAAGAGGCCCGCAGGAAGCAGGAAGCACAAAGGGGCCCTCAAGAGGCCCCCAGAAAGCTCCAAGACTCCCCCAAGAGCTCCCAAGAGGCCCCCAAAAGTCGCCCTCAACAGATATTCCTCGAGACCCTGAGCACAAGGTTACCAGAAACACGGCGGGCAAATGCCCTCCCACCGCGATTCGCAAACAAGGGCGCGGCTCACCAGCAGCAGCTCGGCCCCCAGGCGGCGGGGCGCGGCTCACCATCAGCAGCTCGGTTCCCGGGCTGAGGATGCAGGTCGGACGGTCGACGGCCTGCCTCACGAGCTCGACGATGACGAAGCCTGGGTACACCCGAGCCAGCTCTCTTCCTCCTGCTCCTCCTCCTCCCCCCCCTTATCCTCCTCCTCCTTCTCCTCCTCCCCCCCTCGTCCCCCTCGAACATCCATCCTCCATCTCGTCGCCCACCCTCCTTCGCATCCTCCTCCTCCTCCTCCTCCTCATCATCATTATCCTCGCCGTCGTCGTCGCCGTCGGCGTCGTCATCGTCGCCGTCGTCGGCAATCCTCATCCCCACCCTTCATCATCACAATCATCCCAATATCATCATCATCATAATCATCATCATCGTTACCTGTATCATTACCATAATCATCAGCATCATCGTCATCATGATCGTCATCGTCATCGTCATCGTCGTCATCGTCATCATCATCATCCTCACCATCATGACTATCATCATCCTGTTCCTGTTCCTGTTCCTTTTTCCCCGTGCTCTTTCCCCCTCAACCGTCGCCCTTGCCCTCGTCGTCTCGACCGTCGCCCCCCATGTCCTCCCCCCCCATTCGTCTACTCATCATCCCCCTCCTGTCCCTCGTCCCCCCTATCACCCTCGTCCCTATCATCGCCCTCCCCCCTCCTCTTGCGTGCCCCTCCCCTCCCCCTCGTTCTCGTCCTTGTCCGCCTTCTCCTCCTCCTCCTCCTCCTCCTCTGTCAGCCTTCTTCTTTTTCTTCTTGTTCTTCTTCTCCTTCTTCTCCGCAGGCTGCTCGTCGAAGGACGCCTTCCACGGGGCCTTGAAGGGCTTCTTTCCCTTTCCTTTAGCCTTTGGCTTTGCCTTTGCCTTTGACTTTTTTGGCGCTGCCTGCGCGACCTCTACCTCCTCCGCCGACGAGTCGCTCGAACTGGTGCTGGAGCTGTCCTTGTCCTTATCCTTTTTCTTATCCTTGCCCTTCTCCTTGTTCTTATCCTTGTCCTTATCCTTGTCCTTATCTTTCCCAGCGTCCTTGTCCTTATCCTTGTCCTTGTCTTTTGCCTTTTTCTTATCCTTCGACTTTTTCTGTCCCTTCTCCTTGTCCTTTTTCTTATCCTTGTTCTTGGCTTTGTCATTCTTCTCATTTGAATCGCTCGAACTGTCATCCTTCGACTTCTTACTAGACTTCTTCTTCTTAGTCTTCCTTTTTCTGTTGTCAGTGTCAGAGTCGTCGTCATCTTTCTTGGAAGTCTTTTTCTTTTTCGTTGGTGGCTCGTCGCTGCTGCTTGAACTCCGTTTTTTTTGTCGTCGTCGACCTTGACCTTCTCCTTGTGCTTAGCGTTCTTGCCGCCCTCGCTGCTCGAGTCGCCCGAGCCGGTGCCCTCGTCGGACTCAGCCTCGAGCTCCTCAATGGCGCCCTTGTCGCTGTCCTGCTCCTCGGCGCCCTGCTGGCCGATATTGCCCTCCACGGTCAAGTCCGTCTGCTTCCTGGGACCAGAGAGCGCTGCCCCGCTCCTCGTCAGTGCACGCCCACCGCCCGTGGCCCCGATACTTTAATGACTGGGTAAGATCAGGGGCACTGGGCGCCAAACGTGCAATGAACGAGTTGGGCATTCGCGCGCCCCTGGTGCCTCGTGCCATGTCGCTCGAGCTTGCGAGTGTAGAAGTACACGATGCACTGCCCCTTCAGGTCCCTCTTCTTCATGTGGTTCCTGGCGCAGAACTTGGCATACGTGTCGACGTGCGCCTCATCCTTGAAGACGTCCATGAGCTGAGGCTTGCTCAGCCACTCCCCCTCCGAGGACGACTCAGACCTCAAGAGAAGGGGAAGATTGGAACATCCGGCAGACCTCGAGGCGCCAGAGCAAACCTTGAACCTGCATTTGTTACCCCCTGACTTAGGACACGTGCGCGGGGAAAAGGCTTACTGCCGGTTCAAAGCCTACTGCCGGGGCTCCTGATTTAGGACACGTGTGCGGGGAACCCCGCTGACCACATGCTCTTGCGAGCCCGCAGGATGATGCCTGCGGACCCGAAGCAGCGGTCAGCCTTATCCCAGAGAGCTCTCATGTCCCTCTTGACCTTCAGGGTGAACATATACCCCCTCCTCTTCCTCCTCCTCCCCCTCCTTTTCCTTCTCGTCCCCCTGCTCGACTTGCGTCCTGGTCCTTGCCCACCTCTGCTGATTATGCTGCGGCCAACAATGCTCCCGCTTCTGTAATCCCAGTCCTCCAGAGACCTCCGACGTCGTGATCTGTTCAATTCCAGGGCTGTTGATCCAGGGGGTGTCTTCGGGCCCCAGCGCCGCCGGAAAGTGATCCGGGGCCAATCCCCTGGGGAGGGGTCGATAGTTCCACGGGGTCTGCATTGCGAGGAAGTCACGACGTCGGAGGTTCGAGGAGGATCGGGATCACAGAATCAGGAGGAGGAGGCGAAGACGATGGGGGGGGGGGGAGCCCGCCGCCCCCTTCCCGCGCAGGACTCCTGCATGATCCCCCTGGGTTTCCACGAGGACGCACCCGCCGCCGCCCCCTCCACCTCCCACCTCCCCCACCTTTTCCTCCTCTTGTTTATTTCGGTCGGAGTGTTGGAGGTCGAGGCCCACGAGAGGCCCCCTAAGAGACCGCTGCGGCACCAGGCGGGGAAAAGGGAGGGCCCCCCCCAGCTTTCTTCCACCCGATGGGGAAGGAAGGAAGTACGAGGAGGATGAAGAGGACGGGGTACACCTTGAGAGTCTGTGAGTCCCTGTACGTCTGCACGAACTCGCGGCCGTTCGCGTCGAGCTGCAACCTGTTCTTCTGGTGCGCTTTGAGGTGCCGCCGGAACATGTTGTCCCTGTTCTTGACGAAAGTCTTGTCCTTCTTGCTCCTACGAACGCACAACAAACGCGCCAGCCTTCAAAGCCACGCGACTTGCGGCCCCCGTTGGAAGACGGGGGGGAGGAGGATGAGAAAAACGAGGAGGACGAGGGGGGGGAGGAGGAGGAGGAAGAGGAGGGAGGACGAGAAGGTGAACGAGGAAGAGGAGTATGGAAAGGTGCAAGGGCAGGGGGGCAGAAGGAGGAGTAGCAGCAGCAGCGGCAGAAGCAGGAGCAGGAAGAGAAGGAGAATACGGGGGAACGGGGGTGGATGAGGATGAGGATGAGGAGGAGGAGGAGCAGCAGCAGCAGCAAGACGATGAGAAGAAGAATGGAAAAGAGGGGAAGAAGAGGCGGATCGCGGAAGGGGGGGGGGCTCGGAGGAGAAAGGGTGGAGCGGCGGGGGCGAGGGCCGCGAGTCGCACGGCTCCAAGGGCGCCTGTTTCTTGCACTCAAGCCTCGGCCCCCGCTTCTTGGGCAGGTCGCCCCCCTCCCAGGGGGTGATGTCCATGGCGGCGGATCGGAGTGCGTCTGCGCAACTTGAGCGATTGGGGGGCCCGCTTATCAATCGATGTTTGGGGGCCGTTTGGGCCCCCAAGCCCGCCAGTGACCAAGGGGCCCAAGCGGCCCCCGACCATCCCCAGAACGAGTCTGAGCCTCGAGCAATAAGCAGAGCCCCCCTTCCCTTCCCCGTCCGCGCTCTGCTGGAGCCCGGCTGCGAGAGACTGTGAAGGTGGACAGGGCATTGGGCGGGCATGGCCGGAGGCCTTGCGTATCGGTCAAGACACGATGTCCCTCGATGGCTTCGGGTATCCGCCGGCGCTCCAACACGCGTGCACCGTTGTCCCTAGGGTCCCAACGGTGTCCCTCCATGTCTCTCGGTGCCCCTTGAGGTCCATCGGTGTCCCTCAGTGTCCCTCAGTGCTCCTTAGTGTCTCTCGGTGTCCCTCGGTGTCCGTCGACGTTCGTCGATGTCCATCGGTGTCCCTCAGTGCCCCTTTCATGCATCTCGGGGTCCGTCGGTGTCCTCGGTGTTCATCGGTTAAATATCTCTGGGCGTCCCTCCTTGTCCGTCGATGTCTTTCGGTGTCCCTCAGTGTCTTTGAATGTCTCTCGGTGTCCCTCGATGTCCGTCGGTGTCCGTCGGTGTCCGTCGATGTCCGTCGGTGTCTATCGATGTCCGTCGGTGTCTATCGATGTCCGTCGATGTCCCTCGGTGTCCGTCGATGTCTCTCGATGTCCGTCGGTGTCCGTCGGAGTCCGTCGGTGTGCATCGGAGTCCGTCGATGTCCGTCGGTGTCCGTCGGTGTCCGTCGGTGTCCGTCGATGTCTGTCGATGTCCGTCGGTGTCCGTCGATGTCCTTCGATGTCTATCGATGTCCGTCGGTGCCCCTCGGTGTCCGTCGATGTCTCTCGCTGTCCGTCGGAGTCCGTCGGTGTCCCTCGGTGTCCCTCAATGTCTCTCGGTGTCTCTCAGTGTCCCTCGGTGTCCGTCGATGTCCGTCAGTGTCCGTCGGTGTCCCTCGATGTCCCTCGGTGTCCCTCAGTGTCCTTCAATGTCTCTCGGTGTCCCTCGGTGTCCGTCGATGTCCGTCGATGTCCGTCGGTGTCCGTCGGTGTCCCTCGATGTCCCTCGGCGTCCGTGGATGTCCGTCGGCGTCCCTCGATGTCCGTCGGTGTCCTTCAGTGTCCGTCGATGTCTTCCGATGTCCGTCGGTGTCCATCGGTGTCCTTCAATGTCTCTCGGTGTCCCTCGGTGTCCCTCGGTGCCCGTCGATGTCCGTCGATGTCGCTCGACGCGCCTCGGCGCCCGTCGATGTCCATCGATGTAGCTTAGGGCCTAGGCAGAGGGGAAGGAGAGCGAGAGGTGGCGGCGACTGAAGCATCGCGGAGGCGCACGCACAGCAAACGTAAGAGAGGACCGAAAAGGTCGGGGCCTCGCTCTCGGGCAGAGGAGGAGGAAGCTCCGGCTGCTGTTGCTCCTCCTCCTCTGCCCCCCTCCACTCTTCCTCCGCCTTATCCTCCTCTTCCTCCTCTTCCTCCTCCCCCTCCTCGCCCTGCCCCCCGTCATCCTCCCCCCGCTCTTCCTCCGCCCCTTCATCCTTCTCATCCTGCTACTCCTTTCCTCCTCCTCATCAAAGACATCCTTCTTCTACTCGTCGTCGTCGTCCTTCTCGCCCCCCCCTCAACTCCCTCCCCTCCTCGTCCTCCTCCTCGTCCTCCTACTCCTCCTGCCCCTCCTCCTCCTCCTCCTCCCCCTCCTCCTCTTCCTCCTTCCCCCCTCCTCGCCCTCCTCCTCCGCCTCCTTCCCTTCCCTTCCTCCTCCTCCTCCTCCTCCTCGTCCTCACCCTCCTCCCGTGCCTCCCCTTTTGACCCCTCGTCTCCCGCCTCCTCAGGGCGAGGGCGCGGGCGAGGACGAGGGGGGATGATGGCAATTCTGCGGGCGCCCTCTGCGGCGACCGTGTTTGCACGCAATCCGCCGCCACCACTCGCTCTCCTTCCCCTCTCCCCATGCACGACCACCAGTAGCAAGAGGCAACAGGCCATTGTCCTCTAGGGGCCGCATTCGCGCCCCAGGGCCGTCAGGAACGGGCGGGGCGAAGAGCCAGTCCCTGGGGAAGGGGTCGAGCGTTCCAGATGCCCCGCGATTTGAACGAGACCCCCGACCGCGCCTTAGGCGCCCCATTGGGTGCAAGAGGAAGAAGTGGACGAGGGCGGCGGCGCAGGCGTGTCAGCTTTTTGCAGGGTCTAGGCGGGCCCGCCGGAATGCGCGCGCGCGTGCGTACGTGCGTGCATGCGTGCACGTGCGCATACATATGTGTATGTGTGCATGTATGTGTGTACATGGCTGTGTCTATATATATGTGTGTATGCATATATGCACATGTATGTTTGCATATGTCTATAACTATGTGTGCACATGTATGTGTGTAAGTGTATGTATGGTTGCATGCCTGCATGCATGTGAATGTATGTGCCCGTGTATTCATGTATGCATGCGCGCACGCAAGCACGTACTTATGCATGTTTGTAATTTTGTATGTACGTATGGGTTTGTGGGTTGCAACCCACAAACCCATACATACATACATCCATCGATCCATCGATCGATCATGATCGATGGATGGATTGATGGATGGATGGAGGGGTGGATGCCGGTATGCATGCACGCACGCACGTGCGCACGTACCTGAGTATGTATGCATGTAAGTATGTAGGTGTGGCCGTCCGTTCGTGCATACGTACGTGGGTATGTAGCTTTTTTTTTGTGATGTATGTATGCAGTTATGTCTATATGTATGGATGTATGAATGTGTGGATGCATGTATGTATGTACATATGCATGCGGGGGTGTATGTGTATATGACTTTATGTACGTTGGTATGTACGTGCGCGCGCACATGAAGGATGTGCATGGGGGCGCGGGGGGATGCGCGGTGGCATTCGCGGGCACGTGCGGACGCCAAACGAAGCCATATAGGTTTAAGCAATTGTCAGCCAACTTGTACCAATACTATGCAAGGTGGTTGCAATGCGAGGGCCCAGGCGTAGCTGAATCATACCATGTGCTAACCTTGCGAGCAAACGCGTTATACTGCGAGGCAACTCAGTATACCACAATTGGCTTCAT